GGGCCCTGCCCCAATCCTATATTTTGATAAATTCATATTTTATGTCATTTTTATAGATCACTTCACTAAATACACATGATTATATCCTCTTCATCATAAATTTGACGTTTCGATCGTCTTTCTCACTTTTTGAAAGTTAGTCGAAAACTACTTTCAGTCTACCATCAAAATGGTTTACTCTAATGGTGGTGGTGAATATCAAGCCCTGGCGTCTTATCTCTCAGCTTGTGATATCCAACACCTCAAGTCTCCCCCGCATACTCCTCAACTTGTTGGCTCCGTCGAATGCAAACATCAGTATATAGTAGAAACTGGGCTCACACTTCTCCATCAGGCTTCCATGCCTTCAAACTTTTGGATGGCAACCTTTCATACTGCCGTCTACCTTATTAATAGAATGCCTATGCTAGTCCTATAATACCAATCCCCCTTTGACTCACTATTTCACAAACCCTCAAACCTTCGTAAACTCAAAGTATTTGGTTATCTATGTTATCCATGGTTGCGTCCCTATGCCTCTCATAAGTTAACATCATGATCTAATCCTTGCGTTTTTATAGGTTACTCTCTTGAACATAATGCTTTTTGCTGCTATAATCTCCATACTCACAAAATTTTTATATCGCATCACGTTATTTTTGTTGAGTCTGTCTTTTCTTTTCACAACCATACCTCTCCTACTATACAGACCACTTCATTAACCATTTCTCATTGGGGTATACCTCCGATCCAATCGGACAAGCCTCCCATGACATCGTCCAGTTCTTCCTCTCATGATCCACACTATTCCACTCCTCTGGTTTAGCATTTGCCCATTCCTACTCCACTTCTCTCTTCTCCGACTATTGGAGTACTTGGTTCAGGATCACAATTGTTATCTTTACCTCCTTCTTGGTCAAGTGACCCTAACGTACCGCCACCTAACCCAGCCTGTGTCAATGACTCTCAACCACTTCTTCCAACAACATAGCCTCACGGTCTCGTAGTCTCCAACCATCCTATGACCACACACTCTAAGAGTGGTATTTTCAAACATCGTCATGTCCTTGATCTTCATGCTATCGTAAATTCCTCATCCATCACCGTTGAACCCACCACCTTCACTTAAGCTCAAAAATCTCTACATTGACGTACCGCCATGTGTGAGGAATATAATGCCCTCCTCCATAACTCAACATGAGATCTAGTACCCTTTCATCATGTACAAAACATCATCGGGTGTAAGTGGGTTTTTTGAGTTAAGTGGAACCCCGATGGCTTTATTGCCTGATATAAGGCATACCTCATCACCAAAGGGTTTCATCAATAACCTGGAGTTAATTTCACTGAGACATTTAGTCTCCTTGTTAAGCCCACTACAATCAGACTTATCCTGAGTCTCGCCACCACTAAGGGCTGACAATTACGCTAATTGGATGTTAATAATGTCTTTTCACAAGGGAATCTAATTGAAGATATTTTTATGCAACAACCTCCCAGTTTCACTCATCCTTAGTATCCAAGGCATGTCTGCAAACTTCGAAAAACTATTTATGGACTTCGTCAAGCTCCAAGAGCTTAGTACACTGAATTTGGCTCTTTTTTTACTTCAGTTGACTATCTCAACTCTAAATTTGATTCCTCATTATTTTTTAGACAATACTATAGCGATACAATATATATTTTGGTCTATGTGGATGATATCATTATCATAGGCAACAACCCCGTAGAAATCCAAACATTCATCAAACAGTTGGAAAATCGATTCTCACTCAAAGATCTAGGACCCCTGAACTACTTTCTGTGTGTAGAGGCCACATTCACATCTTCCGACCTCTTTCTATCACAAAGAAAGAACATTCAAGATTTATTATCCAAAACAAACATGTAGGATGCAAATGTGGTTATAACTCCTCTATCTGCCAGTGGCTCTCTCAAATTATCTGATGGAAGTCCTACTACGAAAACCACTCAATACCGACAAGTCGTTGGTTCCCTATAGTACTTAGCTCTCACCCGTCCCGACATCTCATTTGTAGTTAACAAATTATCACAGTTTATGTAGAGGTCGTCTACTATGCATTGGTTTGCAATCAAACGAGTCCAACGATATCTTAAAGGGACTCTCAATCATGGTGTCTTTCTTCGTAAATACTCTCCACTTCAGCTTCATGCCTTTATCGATGCTGATTGGGCAGGCAACTTTGATGATCGAACATCCACATCATGGTATATTATCTTCCTTGGCACTAATCCAATCAATTGGAGTTCTAAGAAGTAAAAGACAGTTACACAGTCTACAACTGAAGCTGAATATAGTGCCATCGCCATTGCCACTGCAGAACTCAATTGAGTCACAAATCTGCTCAAAGAACTAAACATTAACTCTACTCCTACAATATATTATGACAATGTTGGAGCTACCTATTTGTGCGCTAATCCGGTGTTCCACTCCTGTATGAAACATATTGCTATCGACTTCCATTTTGTGCGAGATCAAGTTATCCGCTGTCAACTATGAGTTTCTTATGTCCATTCGGTTGATCAGTTAGTCGAGTCACTCACAAAGCCGATTGGCATCTTTGATAGGAGCACCATCCCCGCATGATAGCAGATAAGATTTCCTCAACTACATGTGGATATCTCTTTATTCTGTTGAGGGAAATCCTCTAATCTGTTGAGGGAAATCTTCCGTCAACAGTGCCACCTTGGGTCACTGTTTGGGCCTTTTTACTTGCCCCAACACAATCTTTACATGGGCCCAACTGACCCCTAATTGGGTTGGCCCAATTCCAATCTCAATTATGTGCTAACTACGAATTCTAAGGCATACGCTAAGCTAAATAAGTCCGATAAGTCAAGGTTTTTTCCAGCGAGCTTCCGGCGATCTTCCGACGATCTCTCGGCAATGTTCTAGCGGACTCCTGATAAGCTCTTAGACTTCACGTCGATCTTCTTGGAGAGTTTCGACGAGCTTCTTTGGCAAGCTCTTGGACTTCTCGATCAGTTCCGGCAAAACTTCGATGAACGTTCGAACTTCCGACGAACTCTCGAACTCCCAACGAAATTACGTTCTTGACTCCAAGACTTCATTTTGCTTTATGCCTTGCTATCGTAGTTAATCCTGCACACATAAAACATACTTCGATCTAGACAATTATTACTAAGCATAAATCATGTTGTTTGGTATGTCATTGGTCTATCGATGTTTCATCTGATTCTTCGGCGCATCGTCTTCTCTTGTGGCCTATTGCCCAATTGGTCAGTTGACCTTCGCAACTCCGATATTCTTAGTGCAATATCCGCTCTTCTTGGCCCGATGCCCGAAACCATGGCCCGAAGGCTTTTGTCGATACGTCGATCGATCTTCCGGTGTGACGTCCGATCTTCTGACATGTTTTTCTCCGGCCCAACATGATTCTTCCTGCTTTAATTGTCTCTCCTTGATCGAAGCATCATACGTCACTCAAAACACAAATCAAATCATAAACACTTATCAATTAGTTTCATCATCAAAATCTAATATTCAACAAGTAAGAATAAAAGTGAGTCTAAGAAAGATATAATCATATGCTGAGTACAAAAAGCTATGACACTTTAAAAATGAGTATTTACAATTAAAAAAGAAGTCAACAAAAACGAAAGTATTCAAAGCAACGTGAGATGAATTAACTGGGTTAAAAGTGGAAGAGCAAATAAATGAAGAAGAAGTAACAAATTATGTCTTAATGGCTTTCGATAATGAGGTATTTGAGTCTCCCAAAACTTTCTTATCGTAAGAAGAATTACTTAAAGCATTTCATGATTTATATGATGAACTCAAAAAAAAAAGGATAAGAAATATAATTCACTGAAAAGGGATCATGCATTACTTACTAATGAATTTAATAAATTAAAAATTATGCATAACAAATATATATTAACATCTTGTACTCTTTGCTCTAAATGTAAAAATTTAAAATCATCTAATATTGAACTTAAAAAAGAGTTATTTCAAAAATCAAATACTTTAAAAATATAAAAACCTAATTATCATTAATGAGATATTAGAACATTACTCAGGAGAATCAATTAATAGTAATAATATAATAGATACTCTTAAAAAGGAAAAAAATGTTTCTACGATAAATATTAGAAAATTTTAAATTTGAAAATAAATCATTTGATATGATTCTTGTTAAACAAGATTATATATTAAAAAAAATATTAGTTTCACAAATAGTAGTACACATAAAAAACTAACTAAATTTGTAAAATGACCACACTTAAATATAATTTTTGGAAAAATTTTAATCATTATGCTTACACATGCTCTTCTAAGAAATATAATCATAAATTAGTTAAGATTCCTAAAGGAACCATGAATGATTTAAAACCAAAAGACAAAATAGATAGATGTAAGCATAAAAGACCCAGAATTAAACGAGTACTTAAAACAAATCACTCTTTCGTATATCTCTAAACAAAAACTAAAAGCAAAAGATGATATCTTAATAGTGGATACTTAAAACACATAATCGAAGATCTTATAAATTTCTTAAAACTCATTAATTGAGATGAAAAATATATTACGTTAAAAAATAATAATGAATAAAAAATCATTAATATTAAAAATATTAATAACAAATTGAATCTCTTGATTGATGATATATTTTTTATAGATAATTTAAAACATAACTTAATAAGTATTAGTATAAGAAAAATAATATTAAATTTAAATCTGATGCCACCTCAACAGATAGGACATCTTTTCGAAAGTCTACCCATCAAAACCATTATACCATGGTTTTCTCTACTCGAGCATCTTTGAGCTTTTGTCTAAGGGGGTTAGAGGGCACGGACCTTTAGGCTCCTTTGGAGACAACCATCCTTTGTCTGATATATCACTTCAATACAACTATAGAGAGTTCACTGACCTGTAAGCTTCAGTTGCATGTAGGTTTTTTTCCTTTTGAGGCTTTCTGCAACTTTACTGACCATTCAGTAATATCAAATGAATCAGTATTTAGGACGATAGTAGCTAGACAACACCCAGAAAAGTGATATGCGTGTAGCAACATTGAAACTGGAACATGAAACTAGAGTTCAGAAACAACCAAAGAGCCAAACCTTCAGAACTATACATAAGCAAAACCCCTGCACATGCTCTCAGGCCTAAAACACATCGTCAGATCATACAACAAGAGAAGCTAGTAAAGATAGTATCAGATCAGACAGGCTTCTCGCCTGGGAGATAAGATGGGGAGCCACCATCAACCTGGCTCTTCTTCCTATGGAATATGCCACTGAGGTTTGGCAGAAGTGCCTTTTTTGAAACCGTTGATCTAACAACCTTCCGATTCTCTTCATTCTTCTCTGCGGTTTTCACACTCTGAACCATGGGTCTTGGCGGCAATGCTTCTGTTGACATTTGTGTCTCAGCCAGTATCCTTGAGGCAGTCTCAGCAGCCCTCTTCTGTTCCTTCTCCCGCCACCTCCTCATCTCTCCTTCAACAGCTTTCTTAGCAGCCTCGGCCATTTCAGCCCTCTTCAGTGCCTCCTCCGTTGCTGTCTCCATATCCTCCATCTCCTTCCGAGCTGCCTCAAGTTTCTTGATTGCCTCATTCTCACTGGCCCTCACAGCCTCTACCTGAGCTATGGCAGCAGCAACCTTCATCTCTGTCAGCTTCTCAGACTCCACAACCTTTCGGGTCAGTGACTCGTATTCTTCTTTTGAGATTGTTATGTTGGCCCCAGACTCAGAAGTTGATGCACGAGCAACATTTGCTTTCTCAAAAAGTTCCTTGGTAAGTTCAAGGGCTCTTGCCTCTGCTGCTTTTGCTTCCTCTGCATCCTTCAAAGCAACCTGCAACTTTTTCTCTGCTTCATCTAAGGTGGTTCGGGCTGCCTCTGCTTCACCTCTTAGCTCTTCAGCACTTTTCTTCATTTCTTCTGCTTCCTGCAATGCGTTCTGAGATTCAGATGATAGCTGATGAAGGGCTGACACTAGATCATCAGATGCTGAAGTTGCCTTGGATTCTGCAACTATGGCTGCCTCAAGCTCAGCTTTGCATTTCTGAAGTTTGACGTGAAGGTTACTGACAACAGATTCAGTTTCTGCATCCTTCTCTTTGAGCTCTGTGTGCTCTTTCTTTACAGCTTCTAACTCAAGCTTCAGGGACTCGACCAAACTCCTGAGCGAACTCTCTTCTTCAGCAAGTTTCTGCAGCATCTCTTTAGCACCATCAAGCTCAGCAGTCACTGTTGTAACAAACTCCACATCTGAAGTCTGGGCATCTTCTATTTCCTTCTGCACGGCTCCAATCTTAGCAGTTGTCTCTGCCAGCTTGGCCTCAAGGTTCTTATGAACTTCAGGATCAAACTCTTTCTTCAAAGAAGCCAATTTCTTTTCAGCATCTTCTAGAGCTTGTTTGTAAGACTGTTTGGCAGCATCTTTCTCGATGCGAATCTTTGATTCTTCTTGACGGGCTTGATCAGTGGCAAGCTTCACATGCATAAGTGATTCCTGAGCAGCTGAAATCTCCTCCGACAGCTGTGCGACCTTCTCAGTGTTGCCATCATGTAGCTGCTTTGCTTCAGCTTCCTGCTCGATGGCAGTGAGCTTTGACTCCATTGATATCTCAAAATCCTTCTTGATCCTTCTAAGTTCCTGTTTTGCAGCATCAAGCTCCGTGATGGCAACTGCATACTGCTCCCTTGCATTGTCAAATTCCTGTTCCCAGACACCACCCTGACGAGTATTTTCAACAGAGCTCACATCTTCAAGTTTCTTTGTTTGAGTCTCTGCAGCTTCAGTAGCTTTTAGAGCCAATTCCTTCAACTCATTTATAGAATTCAGTTTGTTGGTCAGTTCCTCAACAGTTCTTTTAGCCCACTCTAACTCACCAAGTGCTTGGATCCTAGTTGTTTCAGCATTAGTAAGCTGTTCCTTGTACTTGTTAAGCTCCTTTTTAGCCAAGTGAAGCTGTGTCTCCTTAGCTAAAGCCCTCTGTTAAAAGAGAGAGAAGTTTGGAGCATATGCTTTGTGATATAATTGATTGATCAAAGTGCAGAAAACAGACTAGCACTGACCCATATGAAACCAATATAAAAAGCAAAAACAACTTATTTATGTTGAACATACAAAAAATGAAATGACCAATAGAGCACTTCATAACACATTAAATTATGACTCAATGAGGGAATCCAATTGCCGCACTTTCTTAATCCATAAATCAGGTACTTTTAAATTCATGACACTGAAAATGTATTATTTTTTTAAGAAATATTGAACCACATATTAAGTGTCCTGAGATAAAAGCCAAAAGCTATTGAATAGAAGTTTTTGCAGGTCCATTACATGAAAAGAAATCAACAGTTATGATATAACCCCCTATAGATGATGTAGATTTCTTGCATATGTTTGGACAGGATCCCAAAAAGAAATATAGAACAACTACATTATTATTTCCATGGGTAATTGTTTGCTTTAAATGAAGAAGTAGCAAGCCAACATCATTCCTTGTATCTATAATTTGGAGTCTCTCTCTAAATAGCACATCTTTAGATCACTCAGACAGTAATGAAAATGAAGAGACGACAAAGTCTCCAAATCCTACATCTTAAATTCAAAATAAAATGAACAGACAATAAAGTTGTTCTAGATAAAATTATTTTTAATCAGAATTCATAGACAGAGAGTGGAACATATACCTCAATGGGTGGAGGCTTTGGCTTTCTCACAGTAGCTCTGTCAGATGTAAATGCTACCTCACCAAAAAGGCTGACAGCAGCTTTAACAGATTCAAAAGGCGCTCTTGTGTCTATCTCTGCTTTGGGTGTTTTGGGTGAATCCACAGAATTTTGTTGTGTGTTTGTGCCCATGATGCTTCTCTGAACTATGTCAGCCTACAAAAGAAAATTAGAAACAGTTTGCTTTTATGAACTCATAAAGGACTCAAAATTTTGTCAACTTCAGTATCCAACTGAAATAAGAAATTACATAAATACTAAATAATTCAAATGGCTAGATTTGAACAGAAAAAATCTTGTCAAATAGCTTGAGCATATTCAATGATTCACATTAATGCAACTAATACAAAGTTCACCTCAGTACAAAATTGACATAATTTTTGAAATGATAGGATATGTGGGGCCAATAATAATTACTTCATTTATGGTACAAGAGTTGAAAAAGATACCAACACATTAACCAACTGACCTGAATGGAAAGGATTAAATCAGTAAAGTATATAAGTATTTAAACAATGATGTTAATAGAGAAAAAATTCATTTTAAAAGGAGCAAAACATAAAAAAAAAAGCCACCAAACCTTAAACTTTGACCAACTCTTGGAATAAACTCGATGATGTATATCAGATATTTCAGCAATTAACTGATTAAATATTTCTCTATCTGGATATTTGTCAGACTCTAGATGACTACAATTCAGTCTGTTGGAACATTCAACCCTAGACATCCTATTCCCAAGATCTAACTACACAAATCATCATTTGATTCATGTTCATACTCATTTAAACAAATCTCGAACTTTCTCATTCAAGAGTACTAAAGCCAAATAAAGAAAAGAGACTGAGTTCCAGTGGACTGAAAACTGAAAAGCAAGCTTCACCACTTTGGTTCAACTTTCAGTCAATTATCTTTATCTTCTAGGATTTTCAAAGTACTTCAAACGTTTTTTAGTTACTCAATAGCAAGGTTTGTAATTTTACCGGCATTTCGAGCTCAGCTCGATATGGTATGAGCATACTGAGTGGTATGCTCTGGCGTACCGATCAATATATATATATATATATATATATATGGTAAAAAGGTTACAAAATAAAGAAAAAGGGCGACGTCGTCTCGTTTCTTCTCCTCACGAAGCCTCGGTGACGTCACCGAGGCTTCTTCTCCCCGCACGGATGAGAAGAAGTCGCTTACGATGCTGAGGCCTCATCGCCTCAGACGAGTAGAAGGTGACATCTCATCTGCGGCGTCCGACGAGGGAGGGCAGCAACAGATCAGGATTGTTGAGGGAGAGCGGCACTGGATCTCTAAGTTCTCCCTTTTCTTCTCCCTCTTCTTCTCCCTCGGCTAATACCGCTCGATAGCAGGCAGCAACGGTCGAAATCGATCGTTACCGAAAGATTTCAAGCGGTAATGGGGCGGAAACAGCCCCAATTGATAGTACCGCCCGATAGCAGGCGGTTCGCGTACCGGTCTATTGGCGGACCGGTACGTATCGTCCGATACGGGCGGTATCATTCGAAATTAAAATCTTTGCTCAATAGTATGAAAAAGCTTAAGAACCTACAAAAATAAAATCACATACAAGAATGAATTGGTAAGTTCAAGATAATATGAACCAATAACAATTGATCTTCAATGAATCTCCACAACAACAAAGCATTTTTCTAAGATCTGTTAATTGTTTACAACAATGATCTGGATATTTAAAGAAAACCTATGTGTTTAACAATCCAGAAAAACAACATTATTTACAATACTACTAAAATGCACATGAATTTTAGTTAGCACAAGATACAAACATATACAGCTACAGCCCAACTGAAGTTCAAAAATTAATATTGAGATGGAAGATAAACTATACCCTGAAATGTAGAAAGCACTCTGAGACACAAACTTCATTATTCACAGTCTTAGGAAATTGTTTCCACTGAACTGGCAGTATAGTACAAAAATGGACATCAAGATTTGTCAAAATTCCATAAACAGCATTTCCGTGCATATTTCCACCATTTTGGTTATAGAGCTATCACCACTTACAAACAAACATGGATGTCAATGAAAGCAATAAGCTCACTGGATGTCAACAAAGAAGCTATTAACTATATATCAACGTCTGGAACTATCTTATCACAGTGTCTATCTAATTTAAAAGAGTGTTATAAGTGATCACAAAACTACGTGAAGATAAACAAAGTTCCAATGATAATATCCATTTGGTAATGTTGAAAAGCAGAGAAGGATGTTTTTGCAGAAGTTTTTAGTGAAGTAGCACCCGTATCTTTATGGCCATGTAAAATACCATGACCCTTGATCACCTCGTCTTAAAGAAAGATATTGAGAACATTCCCGTTCAGTTTAGTTCTTTCAAGTAATCAGACATTACATTTTTTCTATCTGCCCTTTATAAAGATCTTGACACCAGCTCATGAATGGCATAAAACCCAAATTCTACAGATTTTTATGTTCTTTCCTAAGAAAATAGGAATTTGACTTCTCAATAATGCCAGCAGCCACAGGAGAGGGGAAAGGCTTCTAAATTTGGTAGAGATAACACAAAACTAAAAATCAATGCAACAAATAGTCAAGAATATTAAATAGATCTTAAAAGATTATTGTCATAGTTCTTCATAGCAAAACGGATAAGAACAAAAACTATTCTGGACAACACATAAATCCAATTTGAAAAAGGATTTAACCAATATAACAACCAATGGTACAGTCAACTGTCTCCATCCTCGATTAGTACATAATAATATCTTAACATGTAAATTGTTGCTCTCTTGCCGGTTAAGAAAATAGGAAAGCTCTCCCTCTTAGTTCATGCAGTTATTAACCATCGCAAAGCGACGGTCAAACAGGATCAACAGAATTTTATTGGAAACAATTTTAATATGCGACGCAAGAGAACTTTGAGATCTCGTGCCTTCACAAAAACGATCAGATTGTTCGATCCCTAACTTTTCAATAAGTGCCATCATAAAGATTCATTTCATAGAAAAGAACAACCAATTTGATAAAGTGCCACTCGATTACAGCCTCTTTTACGTATAAATGACATCAACAATTTTTTTCCATCGAATTGAAGACGCCAATCAATTTCCAGACAAAAAAGCCGCTTAGCACTAGAAAGAGGCAAGAGGAGCAATAAAAGCACCAGGATCACAGAGAAGAGTCTCGGATTAAGGTTCCAGTCAAGGAACAAAACAAGGCTCGAAGAAAAAGGGGACATGATGATTAGAGAACAGACCTCGAATGGAAATCGGCTGCAAATTTCCGACGAGGGTTCAAGGACACGAGATAGACGGACGGGAGCGTCGGCGAGAGATCGAAGATGTGGAGACGCAGAGGACAGAGAAAGGACGCGGCTCCGGCGACGGAAGAGAAGAAGCCGGCGGCTTCGAAGGCCGTGCGCGTCGTCGGAGGGAGCAGGAGGGACGGATCGATGAGAGAGAGGGAGAGAGACTTAAAAGGGGGGAGGAGGAAAAGCGAGGCCAGGGGTAAAGCGGACTCGTCGGAATGCGCGTCAGAGTTTAATCCCAAAAAATAGTCACCGATGCGGTGTTCCAGCCAAGGCACCATCGAGTAAAGGCTTATTAGTTGGTTGGGCAAAACTAGGGGTCCTGTCATCAGTGACCAATGGGAATGATTCTATTCTTGCTGGAGTCCTCTCCGAGCAGGCAAACCCGGAGATAAAAATAAAAAACATTTAAAAAGTGCGCGTGTTGGGACAAATTTCAAGTGGTAAAATGTTGAAAGTTGGACTTCTTTTGCGTCTCGCGGCGGCTTCGTCGTTTTTTTTTTTTTTTTGCTTAAATATCGTGATAGAAGTATCACTATATACTTACTTAATTTGGAGGGACTAATTAAGGCTCTATTAGTATCATGATTTTTATATTTAAAAATTAATATTAAAATTTATAAAATTTATAAAATAAATAATATTATTTATCCTGATGTTATCAACTATATTAATAAAAAATATATAATTTTAAAATTTTTATTTCTAATTTGTTAGATATTAAAATTATTTTTTATCGATAAAATAATTAAAAATAAAGTTAATTTTTTTTCAAAACTTTCACGTGATCCCATGTCACATGTGTATTTTCCGTTAATACAGTTAACCATATTAGGGCAAATTGTTAGGATCAGGGTCGGCACTAAGAGGGGGGGTGAATTAGTACAGCAGTAAAATCGTCTTCAAAAACTTCGTTGCAATAAAAATCGTTTACGTTGAAAATCGATCTCAGAAATATCTTAACTTGAAGCCCGTTCGTAAATGAATTGAATGCAGTAAGCACTTAAAGAGGTTTGCAGTAAGGTAATAGCAATAATAAAATGCAAACCAGAGAACACGATAATTTTAGAGTAGTTCGGTCAACATGACCTACATCCACTTTCGACTTCCCCCTTCGACGAGGTCATCGGCGTCCACTAGAGGCCTTCATTCAATAGGCAAAAGTCAATCACCTTTTACACCCCTCTTCTCCTTTTCACGGGTTTAGGAGATAACCCTTACAAGCACTCACTCTCATCTCTAAACAGAATTCTAACACATAGATTAGAGGAGGATTCTCACAAGAGATTTCTATAGCGATTCTTTACTTTTAAACTCTTGTGCTTTAACCAGGGATGAGAGGGATATTTATAGGCTTCAAGTTTATTCAAACTTGGAGCCTAAAACTTTCCCATCCTAGGTTCCCCGGGCACGAGCGGTACCACCGCCCAGTGTCAGTCTGACACTAACACTGCCCTGGGCGGTGCCACCGCTCAGGTCTGGCGCTACCATCGCTTAGGGGACAGTGCTAGGTGGTACCACCACCTAGACTAGCGGTACCACTACTTGGCACCTTGCCAGGGGCGGTACAACCACCCAGACTGGCGGTACCATCACTTGACATAGTCTCGAAGATTGTGCCATAACGGTTAGACTTCTTGGGGCACTGTTTGAGCCTCTCATTAGGCCTAACACAGTCTTTACATGGGCCTAACTGGCCCCTAATTGGGTTGGCCCAAATTTAAACCTAATTACGTGCTAACTATGATTCCTAGGACATTTGCTAAGCTAAATAAGTCCCTATGTCTTGGTTTCTTCCGACGAGCTTCCGACGATCTTCTAGTGAACTTCCGACGATCTCTCGGTAATGTTCCTGTGGACTCCTAGCAAGCTCCTAGACTTCACGACGATCTTCTTGGTGAGTTCTGATAAGCTTCTCTGGCAAGCTCCAAGACTTCTCGGCTAGTTCTACTAGAACTTCCGACGAACATCCGAACTTCTGACGAACTCTCGAACTCCCAACGAAGTTTTGTCCTTGACTTTGGGACTTCATTTTGCTTCATGCCTTGCTATCGTAGTTAATCCTGCATATGTAAAAACATACTTCGATCTAGACAATTAATATTAAGCATTAATCATGTTGTTCGGCATGTCATTGGTCCCTCGACGCTTTGTCTGATTCTTTGGTGCATCGTCATCTCTTGCGACTTATTGCCCAATCGGCCAGTTGACTCTGCAACTCCAATATCCTTGGCGTAATATCCGCTCTTCTTGGCCCGATGCCCGAATCCATGGCCCAAAATTTTCAGTCGATACGTCGATCGATCCATTGGCTCGACGTCCAATCTTCTGACATGTTTTCTCCTGCTTTAATTGTCTCATCCTGATCGAAGAATCCTGCGTCACTCAAAACGCAGATGAAAACATAAACACTTATCAATTGGTTTCATCATCAAAATATGAGATTCAACATAAATAAAATTATTTATTTTATTTATTTAAATTATAAAAAATCTAATATAAAATTTTAAAATATAAGAACTGTGATACTAATAAGGTCTAAGTATATGAGCTAATATATAATTAGCCCCCTGGGTCGGGTTAATTATATATTATCTTATATATTTGGATTCTATTAATATCACGATCTCTATACTAAAATAATTTATATTAAAATATTTATAATGTTAAATATGAAATAAATAATCTTATTTGTTATGGCATTGTCAATTACATTAATGGGTTAGATCGTTTTGAAAGTGATGAAAAAAAAGAGAGGTAATTTTAATATTTATTTTATTTCTAACACATAGGTTAAGGTTATTGAGATTATTTTTTATCGATAAGATCGTTAAAAATAAAAAAAATTAAAATCATCTTTGTGTGATCCAACACATTATGTCACATGTTATATTTTTTATTAACACAACTGATGATATTATAATAAATAAGATTATTTATTTTATTTTCAGAATTATATAGATTTTAATATGAATTTTTTAAATATAAAGAATATGATATTAATAGGATCTAAGTAACACCCGGGAATGAGATGGGGCGATTGAGTCCTGTTCGGCTCAGCAATGGTCGGATCAATAATTTAATCTATTTAACATCTAATTGTGTAATTTCATGTGAACCACCTGACTTAAATCTAACACTATGCATCCATTTAATCATCCGAATCAGATTTAAGTTGACGGTCAGAATCTTAGACGACAGTGGACCCGTTCGAAGGATTAAAATGATCATACTATTCATTTTAATCCTTCGAACAAAATTGTTATATTTAACGTACATAGAAAAGTGCATCAGACTAATTAGAAAGTAAAATTCAAGTTCTTCCATTTTTCACATCTCGATAAAGAAGGGCAGAGGTCATGTCTCACTTGGATAGTACATGAAGATTAAAATGTCACGTGAATGTAGGCGAACGGGCACGGCATTAGGTCATCCAACCAAAACGATAAGGGTCAATCACTGCATTCATGTTCCCCAGATTTAGTGACACGAAGTACGTGGATTTGACGCACGCACGAAGCCTTCCGAGTAGTATTTATGTAGTCACGTGCGTTAGGGAACGCTAATGTCAGCATCAATTTGTTCACGAGATCGATATCACTAAAAATATACATCAGCACTTTGGAGAATCAAATCCCATATAAATAAATTAAAAATATATAATTATTTATTTTTAGCTTTAATCATTTTTTTTAAAATAGCCTTTTTTGCACCACTAGACTGTCACATCTTTTGACTACAATGTATTATCATAAAAGACTCAACCTTATTATACTCTCTAAATATTTAATTATTCATGAATAAAAAAGAATTATTATTAATTTTATTTCTTAATCATAATATTTTTTATTTCAATAAGACATGCATATTTCATTGCATATTTTGCTTGTTTATTGTGTAATACTGATCATATTCACTAAACATCCTTAATTTAGCAACTGTTTTATGATTTTTTAATCTAAATGACACCCATCTTGACGTCTTCATCCCACTTCTATTAATCAGTAATTTCTTCTATGAATATTATCTACATTAATTTTTTCATGTTATTGAGTCACGTTCATAAGATTTAACATAATCTATGACATAATCCAACCTTTTATTTTCTTCTTCCTATGATATGAACGATATTAATCTATACTAAATTCCATGATTCCTAAGCTATATATGTATGTATTAAAAATGCATGGAAAAATATTTATTCATCCTAAATCTTGCTTTATGACATCTGATCTTTCGATATTTTGTATTAACCTTTAATATATCGCTCTTTCTTTTATCATATCGTCTATTCTATCGGTATGTCGATTTTTTTGTGACATCTAATATTTCAACGTAATATCAGATCCTTCCAACATGATATTCGAACCTTTAGCACGAAGTCCGATCTTCAACACATTAATCAATCATTTGGCTTGATGTCTAGTTTTCGACGTGATAATTTTTCGATGCAATGTTTGACTTTCCTACTCGATAGTTGGCCTTTCGATGATCCTATGATCGAAGTATTTCCTATATTGCTTATCTTAAAAGCATATTAGTCTAATAAACTCATTAATTGATTTCATCTTTAAAATTCAGAATTCAACGATCTCCTCCTTTTAATAATGATAACCAATTGATGATGGAGTCATAACAAGACTCTCCCGTCTATATGCTATCTTAAAATATAATGAACTCAAATTCAGAATAATAATCTTTCAATATTAGTCTTGAGTTTAAGTTGAAATAATTTTGATCATAAATTTAGTGTGCATTTTAGTTAAACAATATCATAAGTCATCATCATAAGTTAAACATACCATGACATAATTTTTCCTATTTACGTGTGTGTGTGTTAGTTCTTCTAGGTAATCTAATCCATATTTCAATAATTATATTGCACCTTATTCTTCTCAATAGATTTTTATTAATGATATTAAATCTATCTAGTTTCATAATTTCTTCATATGGTGAAATGAGTGTTATGTGCATATAAAAGTTTAATAATCAGGCCTCCAAATGGAAACATCATATCTTTCTCAAATATATCAATCATGTTTTGACATATAAGGTAACCAAAACCGCAATCATATATTATCATAATCCAATACATGGTACATATTTTCAGAGTATTAACTTTATCAAGACGATGTTGTCTAGGAATAAAAAAAAAATTAAGATATGATGCAGTAATTTTGTATTAAATAGTAAAAGATGTCTCATT